GATATACCCAAAAGTTATTGGTTCTCTGAAAAAATAAAGGTTCCAGAAATGAGAATATTGTGCAGTATTTTCCAGGCTGTCATCTGTTATCCTCCTTGCAAATTCTAGTTTTATTTATTTTCATGAGAGTGCAGAGGTTTGGCGGAATACAAACCCCTGTTCGTCTAGCTGGGCACCAAATTCCGATTCCCTTCGCGGGCCGCCGATTGCCCACCCGTGTCCTGTAGCAAATTTTTAGTTTTAAGGGAGCTTTTCTTTGGAGAAGATGATTTTCATTTGTGTGATTATATGTTCAGGCAACGGTACAGTGGTCAATTTGGATTCATTTTTCCAAGAACTGACGCACAACAAGATAACAAGTTTACCAGGTTGGGAGGAACGCATACTGATCAGTGATCGAGCACACCTTGTATGTGGCATTCATATGCTCGTTGACGATTACTCGGAGGATAAGCTAAAAATCAAGTATGTGTTTTTAGCCATTTGTTTCATGTTTTCTGAGTGCCGGAAGGGTTAGGTCAAGGTTTTTGTCCCTTGCAAGACAGCCTAACCATCTTTGCCCGTTATTCCCAGCATTTGTGTCCAGTAAGCTGGGAATCGATTTCAGCCGCATTTTCTAATGAATTTTTTTTCCAGTAAAATCGGGACAACGAAGCGTGGCATTGGCCCAACGTATTCCAGCAAGTGCTTCAGGAATGGGCTTAGAGTCGGCGATCTTGTCCACGATTTTTCTGCATTTTCCAAGAAGTACGTTCATGTCTTGTTCGAAGCACCACTTTTCACCTAAAATACTATTTAAATAGAAAATTATGATAAGAAAGAATGAAGAGAAAAAAGGAAAAGGAAGCAAAGAAATGAAAATTAGAAAATTTGTGAGTTTATTACAATGGTAAGAATTGTTTCGGTCCATTAAATCTTATACATTTCTTACCATTACCACAGTTAGACCTCGTCAGCACGACAATTGTGGTAATTGAATTCAGTGAAAGTTAGGGTAAAATTTCATGCATCTGCTTTTTCAGTGATTTTTATTAGTTGTATGAAA